TAAATTAATGTCTGTGCTATTTGTTTTCCCCTTTCTTTAGTAGAGCTGTGCTACTTATGAAACTTTAAGCGTGGCAGGAAAAAAAATACCATTTGATCTAAGTTATTAAAAACTGTTCTGGGGGGTTCTGCAGTTGTGGCTCAGTAGTAGAACGTTTGCCTCACATGTGCGAGGCACTGGGTTCAATCCTCAGCACCACATAAAAATAAATAAATAAAATAAAGGTATTATATCCAACTACAACTAAAAACAATTTTTAAAAATCAAGTCTTGGGGCTGGGGATGTGGCTCAAGCGGTAGCGCGCTTGCCTGGCATGCGTGCGCCCCGGGTTCGATCCTCAGCACCACATACAAACAAAGATGTTGTGTCCGCCGAAAACTAAAAAATAAATATTAAAAAACTCTCTCTCTCTCTCTCTTTTTAAAAAAAAAATAAAAATCAAGTCTAGAATATTCCATGTTATTCTTTTGATTATTGCTGTGCTACCTAAAGAGGGCTAATTGATAATTCTTAAGGAAAATACTTGCTGGAAGCAATGGAATAGAGAAAAAGATTTATTCTGATTTGTTTATCTTTATTTTTCTTTCTTTCTCTATTTTTATCTCCACACAGTATGACAGATACATTTTTTACTGTATTAGGTCATCAAGTAGTATTGCCACACATAGGAAATTATTATGGTTCTTTTCACATCAGGGACATTATTGTTTATCTCACCAAGTATCCACTAAATAATCCTCTTTAGTAGTCACTTCCTGAACATAACCATATCATTTCAGTATCTAAGGCTATGCTGTCCAATAAAGCAGACATTAACTATGTGACTTTTTAATTAAATGTAAAAATTCAATTCTCAGTTGCACTAGCTATATTTTGAGTGCTTAATAGCCACATGTGGCTTGTTGCTACTAATGTTGCCACAAATAACAAAATAATAAAAGGTTTGTTCAGAGGTATGCTCCTGACTTAAGCTGAACTAATTTTAGTATCTGGCCTACTGATTGGTCTGGAGCAGGTTAGTTCATTTAAATTGAGTCAATGACACCCATCCTTTTAATTTATAGATGTAGGGCCTAGAAAGTTGGCAAAATCTATATATTATAAAGCTTGGGATCTCTCAAGCGTCATGTTTTTGTGCCATAGGGAGAAAGTTAATCTGTAATGAATAAGCAAAATGAAGCCAACATGCAGAAAGAAGTAAAGATAAGATACTCAAAGTATAGGATAACATTTGGGTTCTCAAGTCTAGTTGATCCCGAGGCTCAGCTTTATTTATGAACTTATAWATTCATAATTAATTTTCCAATTTCCTTAAGCAAGTCCAAATTGAGTTGCTCTCATTTGCAACCAAAAAGTTATTAAACAATGCAGAATTAATTGGAGATAGAGGATCTTGTATTTAGAAAGGCAAGTATAATTCAAAAGTTCACAACACAAAAAATATAAACAAAACAAGTCAATTACACACTTAGATATGTTCCTGATAATTACATTTATTTTAAACAGAAACTAATTTGTAAATGCAAAAAGCTGTAATATTTATTTTGTAAAGCTAATTTTCTGTCTTTTGTTTCTCTTTAAGAAGTATGGAAACATTCAAAGTTATCAGAAAAAATAACTAATATTATAGGTGTTTCWATGGCATTGTGATTCATTGGCTAAATGAATTATTACTGGTTTTAATTAGTTTTTTGACTGTTTTTATTTGCAGCCACATCTTTTCAGATATTTGTAATTGCTAAAAAAAAAAGTTTATAGTGTAAAAATGTCATTTTCACTCAATGGTTTAAAATCCTGGAATAACAWTTTAACATTGACTAAATTTTTAAAATGTATTTTTTGCATAGATAGGTGTTGTCTTTATTTCTGTATGTTCAACTATATGTTGCCATATAGCATTTTCCTCATTCTTTTATAGACTGTGGTATTTTTCAATTAGTAGTTTAAATTAAATAAAGGAAGRTTCTAGCTTAAAAGAATGGGTTGGTTCTTGAAAATCCATTGGGAACTTCTAGTATTGGAACATATTTTGACAGTTGATATTGCTGTTAGTGGTAGTTGCTTATTTACCTGGTACACAAAAATTACTTAACCAATGTAGGTAAATTACTTTTCGCTTTGTACTTTTGACTTGATCTTTCCAAATAATTCATCCTAACACTCAAATTTTCCATTGATGTTTCAGTCACATTATTTGGTAATTAGATTTTGGCCCTCCTAGAAATCAAACTATCATTTAAAATAATATTTCTATGGAAAACTGATTTGAAACTTAAAATACAAAAGACATTTCCATTTCATAGTCACAAGAAACAAAATTACTTTGACTTCTTATTTCAATTCCTATATCTATTACACATGATGGGAAAACTAGGTAATTGCTTGAATTATGTTGTAAACTATTTTGCAAATAATTCATTATGAAGAAGAATGAAGAATTAAAAATGAAGAAGCTCTTGAACATCTAGTGTCTAAAAGTGCATAGCCTAAACATAATTTGGAGGTATAAGTTCAAGATTAGAAATAATTTTTGTCACTTAGCAGAATATGTAATTTTAAAAAATTAAAAATTTTGAGTTATAATTGAAATGTCCCCAAACTGAAAGTATTAAATCCATGACATACTTTAGAAATAGGAGTATATAGAGAAGCTACTTTAAAAAGCCAATTCTAAGTAACTATTGTCTTAGCTCCTTTTCTGTTCTATAGCTGAATACCTGGGACTGYATAATTTATAAACAAAATAGGATTATTTTTACTCATGGTTCCAAGGACTGACTACTGGKTAGCTTTATCTGATGAAGGACTCATGCTGTACCCTAACAGGAGGGTAGCATCACATGGTGGGAGTATATGTGAGAATGGAAAGTGGACATGTGCAGAAGAGGCAGAGGACAAAGGAGTTGACTCACTTTATAACAACTGATATATGTCACTCTGCTGACAACTAACAATAATTAATCCAGGTTTGGTAGTAACTGCATAAATCCCTTCATGAGGGTTCTGTCCTTGTTACTGAACACTTCTTTAAGGCTCTTCTTTTCAATACTGTTACATTCATTGACAAGTAAATTTCATCATAAATTTGGCAGGAACAAACCACATCTTAGCAATAACAGCTGCTAATCAAACTCAGAAGCTATTTGAAATGTTGGGAAGCTGAGGTAATTCATATAATATTCTACAATATTAGTCTCAGAAATTTTCCAACTAATATTTGGAGAGCATTGCTTTTGTTTTTCATTAAAGACAACATGGTAGGGAGAATTATGCATTTTAATCAAAGCAGGAAAATGCAGCAGTGACTTAAGTTTCCAGGTTTGACAAGTTTGATACTGAAGTCCTCTCTGCCACCCCCCCAAAATTTTCTGAGCATACTATGGTAATATTAACTTGGGTTATGAAAGCTCATGTAACTTGGTCTTATATACACTAACTTGTATAATTGGTGATGAAATATAATTTTTTTTCTTTCATTATGAAACTCTTTTAAAAAGTTGAACAATTGGATTACTCAGAATCAGTCAGAAACCACAAACCCAGAACTGTGGTTTCAAATTTAGACCTATGTCTTGAAATTTAAGACAGTTTTAAGATAGGCTACCTGGGAGAAATGTCCTTAATTACACATATTTTATGTGAATCCCACAGATATAGTGAAAACACATACATACTTGAAGTTTCCTAGCCTGCACTATAGACATTTTTGTGTTTTCTAGTAGATCATTTAATAATAATTCTTGTTTGTAGTCAGTTTTCCAGCGCAGTGCCTGGCTGGAAAAGATAGATATTCAATGAACTAATAAAAGAATGTCTATTGAACATAAACATGTGACTAAGGGAGAGGTTATGTAAAAGCAATGAAAGACAGTTTCTGCTCTAGATTACAGTCCAACCTCACTTACATAAGTGCAAAAGATTTTCTTCTTTGTGTCAGTCCCTAATATAGCTAAGGTGCCCTAGGAGTTATCATTTTCCTTACTCGGGAGAATCACGAACTCCCTATTCCTCAATGTTGTTTGTGCCCTTGATTGTCAACGCCCTTAAAGTACCAAATGAAAATGAGAGTTGGGTGAAGAATTGAATGGTTCAAGGACCTCAAGTAAAAATTAAGTGGCCAATTGTTATTCTGCTGGTGGTTGGGCTGTGACTGTTCATAAAGCCCTTAGATTTGCAAATTAAAAAAGAAAAAACAAATCTGCAAGCTTTCTAGGCCTCCTTAAAAAAAAAAAAGAAAGAAAAAATCTATCTAACTCCTACTTTTGTGTGGTCTCAGATGGGTGTTTACACGGTGTAAACAAATGCCAACTCATACTCCCAAGGGGCTGCCTGATCAGCAGCGAGGCCGAGGGGTAAAGTGCGCGCGCACACACACGTGTGTGTGTGTGTGTGGGGGGGGGGGGGTATCACGCGCGAGCGAGCAGCATGTCCTCAGAATCCCTCTCTCCTGTTTGCCTTTTGCCAACTAGCTGTCTCTATCCCACAGCGGAGATGTGAGGCGAGCATTTGGCAAAAGAAAACAAAACCAAAACAGACCTTCACCTAACCAAATCCGAGAGTCACCGAGTGGAATCCCAGAGCCCCACTTAACGGAGAAGACCTGTCCATGGTCCTGACCACGTCCTCTCCTACTCCCTTCCTTCCTCGGCTCGGGATGGGGCTAGCAACAGAGGAGCGGGCGCCCGGCGTGGTCCCGGCTCCGGGAGGCTCCAGGAGGCTTCGGCCCGGGCTGTCCATAACCCTCCGCGCCCCTCGGGCGGGTCCGGAGCGCGGGCGCCACAGCAGTCCCGACTCGGCACCTGTTTTGAATCCCGGCGCGAGGCGCAGTGGGGGCGGCGGGGTGGGGGCGGGGCGCGTCACGTGCCGCCGCCGGCGGCGGCCCCAGGAAGGTTCCATTTCTTCTACCTCCCGCACTCAGGGTGCTCGGGCCCCTCCCCGCCCCGCCCTCCCGCGGCTCTCCTCTCGGCCGCGCAGCTCGGAGACTCCGGGCCGGGCCCGCCCCTGCCGCTAGCGGACTCGGCTGGTCCTCCGTCCTCCGGCCCGCCGCCCCTGCCATCCAGTTGGTGCGGTCCATGGCGAGCACATCATGGCGATTGAAGGTAAGTGGAGGCCGACGGTGGTGAGCGAAGAGGGGAACGCCCAGTCAGCGGGGGATCGAAGGGGTCCGGGAGGTTGAAGTGCGGACGGGGCGGTCTCCTGAGGGCCGAGGTGAGCCGACGGAGCGCAGGGGTCCCGTCGGCGCCCGGGGAGGCGGGTGGGCGGAGCGGCGCGGCGGAGACTCTGGACCTGGTTCGCCCGCGCGTCGCGGCCCTCGCGGTTCCGGTCTCGGCCGGCGCACGCGGGGGCGCGGGTCTGGAGCTCTGGTACCGGGTCGGGGCCGCCTCCTCCGGGCCCAACAGAGTGGGCTCCTGCTGCGGCCCTGCAGACCCCGCGGGACGGGCTGGGAGGAGCGTGGGCACTGGGGCTCGGGCTGCACCTCTCCCGTTACATCGCCCCAGCAAACCTTCCTCCTGAGATACCTCCCTTCTTGCCAAACCGAGCCCAGTTTAGCTGTCCCCTTCCTTACCCTTTCCCATCCCTGCTCTGGAACTGATTTTTCTTTCCATCCATTACCCTTCTCTTTGATGGTGTAGGGGACCAGGAAATTTGGGGTGACGTTAATTTCCTCAGCAAGTGTTTTTTTTTTCCCCCCCTTAATACTCAAAACCGCTTTTCTCAATGTAGGAGTAAATATATCTTTTCAACCTGGGCACTTTTAGAATCCTGCAAATATCATTCTTCTGTTTTAGTGAGAACAGTATTTTTAAAAAGTAGCTTAATAAGAGTTAAGTTCCTACATAAGGTAGATGGCACTAACGTGTACTTCTTTCTTGTTCTAAAAAACATGGAACTGGAATTGGTATCTATATTTTGTCTTGCTTTTAAGGAGGATATTGTGAAAATTAATATCATAGCTAGGATATTTATGTGAAGCCTACAGCATCTTCTATCCCTGCCTCACTGTTATATTAACTCAGACAGTGCAAGTGACTTGTAAATTTCCCTATGTATATACTCACCTGTATGTGCAAGGTACCTAGAACTGTATCCTTATTTGTTTACACTGAATGTGTGTTCCTCCTAAGTAAAACTTTTCCGAGTGCTTCCCATGTAGATGACAATCACTAGTAGAACACATATCTGGGGAGTTTATGTCAGATCCTGTGAGCTCCAAAATTAATGAAGCTGTGTGTTTGTTTCATTTAAGACGTTAAGTACCTACTCTATGCAGGACACACATTCAGTTTCAAATATCTACTTTAGCTAAGATTATGGGGAATAAGATCTACTGAAGAATACTATTTACCTATAATCTTTGATATTCCTGTTATCTGGAACAGTACTTTCAACTTCTCTTCCTCACTGTACTTTTTACTAGGGCTTAAAAGTTGTATATTTTCCCATCCAGTTTGTGGTAAAATGGTGAAGGTAATAAGGTTTGTCCAGAATGTGAAGCAGGGTTAGTCAGATAGCATTAAGATATGGTCTTATAACTTGTAACTTAAAATATTTTCCAGTTTTTTTTAGTTTGTCCATTCTTTCCTGTAGCAGTTAAATGTTACTGGATCCTTTTTCATGTCAACTGTTAGTATTTTGCTCTGCCCACTACTTGTATGTTTAAAGAACAAGATTTTAAAAATCATATTCATGGAATTATTCTGTGGTTTTATTATCATTTTATTTTAGTGCTGAGGATTGAGCCCAGGGTCTCATGCATGCAGGCACGCACTTTATCACAGAACTATACCGCCAAGCCTTTGATATGTTTGAGATACTCTCATAAATATTTTTATACTTAAGTATTTGTTTAGGTTTTGTGGTTTAAAGATCAACCAATTATGTTGTTCCTAGTTAGGCAAAGTAACTGTATTGGTATATCTCAAAGATATCAGGTTGATCTTATCACTTACTAAAGCAGATTTTTTAATACACATCATTTCTAGACTGTATTATAAAGTGAGACTGTATTATAAAGTGATGAAGATTCTGTACTAGAAACTGAGAATTTTAGATTCTCAGATCTAAATATCCAACATTGTTCTCAATGAAGAGATTCTGAATTCTAAAACATGGTTGCTCCATTCACCTGTTAATTTAACAGACATTGATTGTATGCTAGCTGCACATATTATTCTGTACTAAACTTCATGGGCCCATGAAGGTGAATAAGACCACAGTCTTCTCCTCAAGAGTTAGCATTCTAGTGAGGGAAGACAGATAATTTTAAACAGGCAATTATGATATAGTGTGAATACCAAAAGATGAATCTTAACTTCTGTTGTTCAAAAAATGGTGATGAGTTCAACACTGGTTTGGAGACAGTAATTTTTTATATTTGGGAGGTCTTTGCATTTGGCCGAAAGTTCTGTATTTGGCCTAAAGTCTGCCATTCAGTAACTTCTGTCTATTCATCTGGTTCTGCTTTCTGTAACAATAATTAAAAATCCTTTGTTCTCTGTCTACACAGCATCCTCTCTACAACTTGAAAACAAAATATACAGTGTTTTCTTTTTTAGACATACTATCCAGTTCCCTCCTTTGAAGGAATTATACTGTTTTAAAATTTGGAATATAGTGGTGGGCTATTCCATTTCAGTTGTACTGTTGAATAGTATGCATTAAAACTTTTATATCACCTTTGAATTGTACATAATCTTATTAATGTAGCTTATTATTAGAGTAGCCTTTTTGGAGCTTTATGTTGGCCCAAGATGAGGCTGCAGTCAACAAAAAGCAGTTTTTACCTGGATTACTCTCGAGTCATATGTCTTCAGTCCTTTGTATAACCAACGAATGTTTTTGATTAAAGAACAGGTCATTTATATCAGTTAAGTATACTCTGTGCGAGTGTTTTGGGCCTTTAGACATTTAGGTATGAGGATTCACTTTTATTTCCTCCTCTTTGGAACCCTTATTTTATAGCACCAATTTCTACTAAATATTATTCATATCCTCCTTTGTAAGTCAGACATTTAACAGCTGGTCTGGCCCTCAAATAAATATATAATGATACCATATAAGATGTTACACTGAACTAACATAATTTCACTCAGATGTGAAGAATTTAGTTCAATCTTAATTAAAAGTGCAATTTTTAAAAGGTATTTTGAAATATTGAACAGTTTCAAGATCCTTCTTGTTATTCTAGCTGTTTGTTGATACCATGTTGGGAATTATGTTCTACCTGGCCTGTCAAAGCATGTAATTGCTATCCAGAATATTAACTTTTCTATTATTGACCTCTGTCAGTCTGACATTGTTGACTGCACTTTTATCTTCTCTCCTGACAACATAGTTCTTAATCATCTCTTTGTCTCTCTTTTGTGGTACTGGGAATTGATCCCAGGAATGCTCTACCACTGAGCTGTATTCACAGTCCTTATTATTTTTGATTTTGAGACAGGCTCTTGCTAAATTGCTGAGGCTGGCCTTGAATTTGCTATCCTCTTGCTTTAGCCTCCTGAGTCACTAGGATTATAAATGTGCACCCCTGAATCTTCTCTTCATCTACTTGACCTCATGTTTTTTGTGTTTCTCTTCTCAATCCTCTTGCCATCATCTGCTTTATATGTACTGTACACATTGAACAATATTTTAATCACTTGTTTACAAATCTGTTTTTGCAGTGCAAGTGTAAATTCCTAGAGGATAACGTTTTACTCATGTTAGTACTCCTTAAATTTTGAATAATACCTGAACATAGTATGTTCTCAAACCATGTTTCTTGAACTGTTTCATGGAATTCTGTAGATATCACCATGGATTCCCTCCACTGCTCAGATCTTTATCTTTGACACTAAATTTTCTTGACTTATGTTTCCAGATGGTAGCTAGATATCTTCATTTGGATGGCCTACAATGATCCAAATGTGTAGCTTAGAACATTAGGAATGTCCTAAAGTTGTAATTGCAGGCACCAAATCAATTGTAGCCACCAAATCTCGCCTCCATACTCCCCTACTTCATGCACATTTACCAGCTGAGTGGCATTTTAAATAACCAGACATTTAAGTTAGAAACCTGGACATCACATCTATGTTATAATTCACATTTCAAACTAATTTATGTTGCTTGGTGCTTGTGTTGTTTAGTTTATGCCCCTATTATGAGACATTAGTTTCATTTTCCAAACTAGTGTTAATTATCTTTGTAAAATGCAAATCTCAAAATTTTAAAACCTTACGATAAAGCTGTTTCTTAATATCTGGCCCGTCTCCTCATTCAATCTGCTTTTTTCCATCTTTTCCATAAGAGCAACAAAAGACTCTGCAACATGTTTTGTGAAAGTGAAAAATGAACACCTTTATTGTTAACTTGGTATACTTAATTAAGTTAGTTTAACAACTTAATCTTTCTGGAAAGCAGTTTAAAAATTGTAAAAGAAGTTTGGAAAGATCTGTGTATGTATGTATAGATATATACCTTTTATTCATAGTGCAGCTTATATAGTTGGCCACACATTTCTACATATGCTGTATTTTAAACCTATTACTAGAATTCTGAGATGCTCATTAAAACTTTTCCCCTAAGATTTTTTTAAATTTTATTTATTTTTTATTAGCTACACATGACATTACAATGATCTTGGCAATTCATACATTTCCCCCCAAGATTTTTAAGGCAGAATTTGGGCTTTCAGAAGCCATTTGAAATATTGAATTTAAAAAACCAATAGAAACATGTTATATATTAATCACGAGGGAGAACATCAAACCCAATTCCTACTTTCCATGTTTTATTACTAGAGAGGTAGACTTAGTATATACCTATATAGGGTCAGTGTGATTAGGATGTCATACCTATTCACAGTCTGTAGCAGAATGAGGTAATTTATTTAATAGTTTATTTCTGGAGGAATTACAGTTCAGTTTAATCAATGATATTCTTAAAAGTGATACTTTGACTTGTGGCAAAGCTAAAATTTCTAATTRTTTTTAAAAATATTTTCTTAGTTTAGATGAACACAATATCTTTATTTTATTTATTTATTTTTATGTGGTGCTGAGGATTGAACCCAGTGCCGTACACCCACTAGGCAAGCATTCTACCAGTGAGCTAC